ATCTTTAGCCTCTTGATGAGCAGACCCCACAGTACTTTTGGGCTTCACAGGGATCTTTAGCTTAGGTAAAAGAAGTGTTGCTGCAGAGCAAGTGGGGAAAGAGAAGTAGAGAAGGAGAAATATACCCAGGTACCACCAGTTTGACTATAAAATTTATTTATTGCTAAGTAGATGAAATATACAACGGCACTAGTAGTAATAGACATGCAAAGAAAAACAAACACAAACAATCACCGTATTACCCTGGTTTCACTAAGTATTTGGGGAAACTTAGCTCAAGCTTAACTAATACAGTTCAGGTTCAGAAATCTGTGCTTAGAGAGAGAGAAGAGAAGAGAGAGAGAGAGAGCTGGGATCTCACCAGTCCAAGGCACTCCGGTTGCAAAGCTGACAGGTCAAAGTTCTCAGCACGATCCTTGAAGGGAGACGATCTACCTCCTTCAGCCTCTCCAGAAGAAAGCGGATGGTGTCAGCACACACTGCTGCTTCTTTTACAGATTTTTATACCCTCAGTTCAGCTTCTTTCAAGCGTTCTCAATAGTGTAAATCAAATGGTCTTTTCTATTGACAAGGGGTTATCTGGTTGGAACAGCTCAGGAAACTGACTGATACTCAAGAAACACATACTTAGGAGCCAGCTTGACATTCCTATGGGTAGCAGATATACTGATGGGCTATCTCCTGGTGTCTTCAGAAACAATAGATAGTGTGCAGCATCAGGGTTTGGGATTTTTACTTGCTGTGAACAAGCCTCAGCTTAGCATGACTTTTCCAGATCTTACTATAGTCTTTTAACGGACTTAAGGCAATTATGGGAGTGTTCATAACCTGTTGTGGAGAGGACTTCCACCAGTCATCTCGGGAAAAGTATAACAACACTCGTGGACAGGGCGCCAACGGGCTGAACGCTGTGATGAACCCTGTACTGTTGTTCAAATATTGCCCATACTCCCTTCTGACTTGGTCTGTTGCCTCAGCATTCCCTAACCCGGCAACCGAGTTGTAGCCAATTAAGTTTCCATAGGCCTCCCATAGTGGGACCGGGAATGTATGGCCCGAGATGCCTAGTAAATTTACTTCTGCTTAAAGGTGTGTGTGCGCGTGGGGGAAAAAGTCCTTTGTAAATCCAGATTAGAACTGGTCTGATAAATGCTGAGCTGGGTGTGTGGGTTGATTAGCATTTGGAGCACAGATTCCCCATCATGCAGTGCTCCCCTGCTTCTCTGATCCCAGAATTCACTGTGGTCTCTGCTTCGGGCTTTCTGTTCTCCATCTCCCATGTAAATGAATGGTCTTCTGGTCCCATCTCAGATGCAAATGAGACCTAGGGCAGTTGTTTCACTTTTGTCACCCTTATCTGGAGGGTTTTAGGTGTGTCTCTCACTGCATTTTAATCAGTTTCTGTTTAGGTGGGGGGGGCAATACTTTCTGAGTCAGACAGTCTGCGTCCTGTGTCAGGGTTCCCCAAGAACATGGAGCTGAGAGGTAACAGTGGCCTTGGCTACATCACAGTCTGCCGGCTGGGGAGTTGGCTCTGAGGTCGGACCCAGAGAGTGGTAGCTGATGGAAGTCAATCATTGTGGCACGCCGTGACCAATGGGGTCCCCCAATGCTCTGTCCTTGGGCCTATTCTTTTCAACATCTTAATTAGTGATGTGGACATTGGTATCAGAAGCGGACTCGCTAAGTTCATTGATGATACCAAACTTTGAGGTAAAGCATCTACACCCAAGGACAGGAGGGTGATCCAGGCTGACCTTGAAAGGCTCAGGAAATGGGCGGACGAAAACCTGATGGCCTTCAACACTGAAAAATGCAAGGTTCTCCAGCTTGGGAAGAAAAACCTGTAGCATAATTATAGGCTCGGCAGTGCTACGCTTGCTAACGCCACAGCTGAAAGGGACTTGGGGGTCACTACTGACCACAAGATGAATATGAGCCTTCAATGTGGTATTCCAGCTGGCAAAGTGAGCAAAACTTTGGCTTGCATCCATAGATGCTTCTCTAGCAAATCTCAGGATGTCATCCTCCCGCTGTACTTGGCCTTGGTGAGGCCGCAGCTGGAGTACTGCATCCAATTCTGGGCTCCGCAATTCAGGAAGGATGTGGAGGAGCTTGAGAGAGAGACATGCACATGATCAGAGGGCAAGAGAATAGGCCTTATGATGAGAGGCTGAGAGCCATGGGACTCTTCAGCTTGGAAAAGAGCAGGCTCAGGGGGGACCTGGGGGCCACCTATAAGTACATAAGGGGTGTTCATCAGGATCCGGGGGAATGCCTGTTCACCAGAGCACCCCAAGGGATGACAAGGTCAAATGGTCACAAACTCTTCCAAGACCGCTTCAGGCTGGACATAAGGAAACACTTCTTTACTGTCCGAGCCCCCGAGGCCTAGAACAGACTGCCGCCAGAGGTGATGCAAGCACCTACTCTGGACTCCTTTAAGAAGCATTTGGACCTTTATCTTGCTGGGATCCTTTGACCCCAGCTGACTACCTGCCCCTTGGGGGCAAGGCTGGACTCGATGATCTTCCAAGGTCCCTTCCAGCCCTAATGTCTATGAAATCTATGAAATGGGTTGGTTTTACCATGACAAATGCCATGTGATTCCCTTGCAGATTCAGAGCGGCTGTGTTACTTCAGAACTATTGTCCCTATTAAGAAAAATGGCTTTGGCCACAACAATACCTTGGGAATAGGATGTAACATAGCTTTGGTGGGAAGAAAATTACCTGGTTTTACCTGGGACCTGATTGTGTCTTGGAAATGGTATTTTTTAAAAGAAAAAAGGAGTGCAGAAAGAGCGCATGTAAAAAAGAGCCTAAGTATAGGGAAACATTTAAAAAACAATGTAAGTGATTTAGGAGCTACCATCCCATTTTCAAAAGCACTTAGACACTTATCCAAATAAAAAGGAGAACTAGGATAGAAAGGATGGCCAGGAGAAATCAGGTCAACCCATCTAAAATGCTTGAACTCTGAGGCAGGGACTGTTTTTTTCTGTATGTTTGTTCAACATCTAGCATAATGGAACTGCAGCTGGTTTTACATAAGGATCCACCATAATAATAATAAAAAATAAAATGTAATGCGGGGTTTGGAAAATAAACACAGAGCAAAATAATCCCCATTGAAACAATGAGAAACGTACCAAGGAGGAAGCCCATCTGATCACTGCGACACATTACTATCTACCTATCAACAGGCAAAGTAGCCTGGTATGCTGTTGAAGTGGTACACTGATGTTGTAAAAGTGATGTTTGTTTTGAACTGGGTCTGGTATAATAGGAGTTGTATTCATCGAACACCACAGTCGCTTCTATCAGACTGAATTTTAGTAAGAAAGCGCATGGGGCACCTGGAAGTGAATTTGGTATCTAAATGGATATTCAAGCCCAGAGGACAAAGGCAGGCAGAGGTTCTGAGTTAAAATGGGCAGCACACCCCTATACAGCTTCAGGACAGAAGCGTTCTAGCCTTGGAGATAAAACACTGAAGGTAACGGGAGCTTACACTATAAGTAGATGGGACAGTGGAAGTGTACAACAGATCATAATAGCACATATCCGTATCCCTACTAAAGATTAGAGCTCAGCAAGGTACATAAATATGTGCATAAGCCCACCCATGTCTAGCAAAGCATGTTAGCATTTACTTAACTTGAAAGGTGAGATCAGCATGATGGAAGTGCTCCTGGGCTGAGTATGGATGGATGTCAGTGTGCCTTTCAGTGTATGCTGACCCAGCGCATTGTTGTCCCAAGGTAGTAAAACACTCCCCATCTACTTCTATGTCCTATTTTTTATTCCATTTTAAAATTCTTTCCTCTTAAATCTGTTTGGTGAGACAGGTGCCCAAGAGTTGGAGCCTACACCACGTCTACCAGAGCTTCCCCATGCAGCTGAAAGAAATCTGAGTAAGGATGTTTACTGTGGTTCTTGTTACAGTATTTCCAGGCATTAAAAGGCACCAGTGTGCAGCCTTATTGGGAAAGAGACCCAGAAGAGGTATTTATTCCAGTCACATGCAATGATCCACAGGATGGTTCAGCAGCAGAGGTCAAACAACAACCTCAGGGCACTTGTATGCATGATGGGCGTTTAGTCCTTCAGGGTTGCATTCTTTGCCTCCTAAATTGAAATAGTGAGTTTTTAATTGAGACGGTGAGTATTATGTTTCTGTTACTGTATACATGTCATTGTCCTGGCAGCTGCAGGCACCTGATCCCTTTTTTACCCCAATGGAGCCTGCCCCCCACCTTCTCTGGCCACTGGCACACCTAGCCACCCTCCCTGAACTGCCCCAGGGGCAAGCCAGCCTGTTCCTGGGCTGCCCCAGGCATCCTACCGGCCACAGGAGCCTGATGAAGGCAGAAGCAATGAGGGGCCTGATCCTTTTTTTCGGCAGAGCCTGCCCACCTCTCGCATAGCCAGGGGACAAGCTGACAGATGAATGGCTGCAACATTCCCGGTTGCAACATTGCAAACTAAATTACATTGGAATGTAGTTTAATTTGCAATGATGCAAATTCATTTAAACCCCCCCAAACTCACATGCGTGTAATGTAGGACACTATTAAGTCACAGAAAGGGAAATTTTCATCACGTGTACTTGGTAACATCACATGTACAAGCGCCCTCACAGCAGGCTTCACTTTTTACATGCACCTATTTTCCCTGGATGTAAGAGCACTGGCCTCAGGGCTGATTGATCATGGAGTACGAGATTCAGGGACCTTTTCTCTGGAGACACTGAGGGGACCTCCCTGACAATTGCTGAGTGTTTGGGTTGGCAGTACTAGGAATTACGAACAATATTGGGTCCTCAAATCCATTGATCTCTCTCACTGGAATGGATATAGTGGAATTAATGGGAACAAGACACACACTGGAGGGCAATTTTTTTCCCTATCAATGTGTTTATAACAGCGTTTCTTCTTATTTTGCCTTAGACAATATCACGTTCTTCAATGGAGTCTTTCAAAATGTAGAAAGTGTTACACTGTTTTTTGGTAAGTACCAACTTGAGTGCTGGTTGCTTTGGTAAGTAAAAATAGCATTGAATGTGCTGTTATACATATGAATCAATAATGGGGTAAATCCTGAAATGACAGATTTCCCTTCAAGCCAATAGCAAACACTCCAGA